TGACAGAGATAGCATGGGATACAAAGATCCTGAATAATTGATACCAGGAGATAATTTTTATTGGGTCTTTAACTTGGTCAGTGAATGGCTGTTATATGCTTGTCCTGGGATACAAAACTGAAGAAGACATTTTCCCTGTTTTTCAGAGATTTGTAATCTTGAAAAGGAAGAGATAAAAGCAGATTAGTGTCCTGGAAATGGTCATAGGGTAGGTAATAGTATGGTAGGTACTCTAGCGATGACTAGAGTTGGAAAGCTTAGGAGTGATAGAAATTGGGAGTGGGGGCAGAGGGTGATGGTACAGCATAATGGTGTTGAGGTGGAGGTAGGAAATAGTGGTCCCTTTTGGGAAAACCATCAGTGTGTGGGATGGCATGAGGTATGGAGGTGTGGTAAGAGGAATGCTTAAGAGGTATACAGCAGCTAGATTTAGAACTGTAGATGTTTTATTTAGGGATTTTTTTTTTTTTTCGGAACCACGGATTGAACTCAGGCCCTTGCACTTGCCAGACAAGTGCTTATTCTACTGAGCCATCTCCCCAGCCCATTTAGGGATTTTGACCTTATCCAAAGGATTTACCAGAAGGTGTTTGGTGAGGTGTGATAGGATAGAAAAGGGTTTTGTATGGTAAAATACTTCAGATATAGTACCTGAGACAAAGTTAAACAGATATTATTTACTGAAGGCCTCTCTGACTCTTTCTCAGAGTAGAATTTGCATGACTTTTTGATGACCAAACTTGGAAAAGGGGTGTCTTCTGATTTGCAGAATGTGGTTTGGGAAACTTCACTGTGCGTGGGAAATCACAAAACATTTTAAGCAGTAAGTTATAAACAGTTGTGTAAGCTAATTCTGTTTTCAACACATAGTGTGACATTCCTCATTAGGTACTGTTCAACCAGAACTTTTAACACCTGCTATTTTCAAGTTTATGTACCAGATGTTCTGGGAGATTAGAAAAATCCATGAGACTTCTTATCTGGCCTTCAAGGAAAAAAAACCATGTGGACTATCTGTAAATGTTAATCATTCTTTCATTATTTGAGGTAAAAGTAATGTAAAAGTGAAGAAGTTGATAAACTGGAGAGAGTTATGCATGTTCTGGTGATTCTTGTTCATTGCTGATTTCTATAAGGTGTTGAGTGATAGTTCTTCCCTATAGATTGTCTCTGTGCTTCTTTTGTCTCTTTTTGGACCAGGATTGTTTTTCACTAGAGTCTTTACACAGGCAGCTCAAGGAGTCCAATTAGAAGGAAACTGTGGAGTTGAAACTTGAATTTTTTTTTTTGAGAATAGAAGTGTCTGCTGTTTTATTTGGTCCTTAGATATATTTTAAGTTTTGGTAAATTAAAGTGCAATGAGTTCTATGGATCCCTAGGATATATCCAGGAAATTTAGAGGAAAGTTTGAAGGTGAAAGAGAAGTTAAAGTTATGTCTAGTGGAATAGAAAGGTCAAGAATAGAAACCTAAAGAGTGTTTTGGACTTTTTGCTTACATAGCTCCCTACTTTTTTCTCAGTTTGTAGGGATCCATTGGTGTCCATTGGGAAAAACAGCAGCAGCAGAATGAGGAAAAGATAGACAAGAAAGCAAGAGCTGGGTCAGGTGGTGGCCTGTTGCCTGATTGGCAGATGACCCCTGGAACAACAGTAGGGGCATTTATTTATACCTCTGTAAAGTTAGTGTCACATGACACAAGGTTGTCTAGTGACTGATAGCCGACATTAACCAGACAGGACGCTTTTCTCAGGACTGAAGTAGCTTGACTGCTTAAGGCACTGAAGTCTAGTCCTGCTCTCACACAGTTGACCAATTTCCAACTTTGGTGGCTTTCAACACAGTGATAATGGGAAAAAAATTAAATAGTCTTTGAGAATTAAGTTATATTATTACTTGCTTACTACTTGTTTAGTCATTCATTGTGAGACATAATCAGAGTACATAGAGGCTTTTTGTTGCCTGTTGTGTAACTGTCCAGAGCGGTGGTCTTGGAGCCTGATGGCCTGGGTTTAAATGCATTAATTAAATTACCCAATTACTTAAGCTTTTCCACCTTTACTAGCTGTAAGACTCTAGGCCAGTGACGGTGAACCTTTTAGAACTTTCAATGATAAAAGCAGCCTGATGCAGCGCATGTGCTCTATAAGTTCACCACCACTGCTCTAGGCAAGTTACTTCCCCTCCCTAAGCCTCACTGTCTGTCTAAAATGGAGAAATGATGGTGTACATCTCCTAAGCTTGTGGGGATTAAAATAGCTAATAAAAGTGAACTGCTTAAAATAATGCCTGGACACGCTGAGCACTTAGTCAACTGTTGTCTTTAGGATCTCTTCATTGTGCTATTTTTTTGTAGGATATTTCATTATAGAATAGCAATTATAGTAGTAAGTTTTCTAGTTTAATATGGTCCTTTGGAGAATGACCTTCTAGCTCTGAATAGCATTGGGTATAAATAAGCTATTAGAATTGTAGCTATAGCAAATATTTGAAACATTTAAATAATAGCAGTGACTAACGTTTCCTGGGCATATCTGTGTGCTATTAGTCAAGAAAAAAAGCTTTGTCCCACATGCCTCTGGGATTCAGGGTGGGCTGCGGAGCCAGGGAACCAAGCAACTTAGTGGGACCCTATCTCAAAATAAAGGAATACAAATGGTCTGGGGATGTAATTCAGTGGGAATGCCCTAGGTTCAATTTCAGTACCACAGACCACACACACACACACACACACACACACACACACACACACGCACGCACACACACACACACACACACATTTTGTTAAAACATTTCAGCATAAGAATATTTGAAGAGTTAATCCTATGGAGCCACATTAACTATGATTCTGTTATTCTATGGAAATACAAGGTTATGGGTTTGATCTAGTAGGGCTCTGGATGCAAGTGCACATTGTCTCTAGAAGGTTTTCACTTAGTCTCAGCTATATAGTTTCAGGGTAGTGTGTAAGTAGTGCTACTTTCTATGCGTTTTGTGAATTTAGCTGCTGGGATTATATCAATTCCTAATTTATGAAATGCATTCTTTGTAGGATTGAGAATGAAGAACATTGAGACAGATTTTCTTGTTGCATTTTCTGTAGAAAAGAGTAGATTACTCTAAAAGTAATCATTTTAGTTGCTCTATTTTGTTGGTACTGAAGTAGCGCTATGTCAGCTCTCAAAATGAATAAGTGAATGAATGAGTAAAGAAATAAGTAACATTTTAAAAACTGGGCAAAACTAATTAGCCACTAGATGGAGCTCTGACTATTTGGGTAGAAAAAAAGGCAGTCTAATGAAAACATTAAATTCCTAGTCATCTCATGCTGAAGGGTCCCCGGTGTTTGCAGCCTCCGCTTTTAATTGTAGAATGCATCTTTGTTCTTTGCCTGACCTGCAGGGTGACATCACTGCCTTTCTTCCTGTGCGCTGGCTTTGACATAAGCCAGATGGCCAGAGTGATCGGTAGGCACCCAGGCTGCCTGGTACAGCAGTTGATGAAACAGAATAGGAAGACGTTTTATAGTTAGCTGCAGGAGCACAATGGGGCTGCAGCTTTCCTAAGCAATTACATTGCCTTGCATACTTTATTCCTCACAGAGAAGGACCTCAAGAAAAAAAATACATTTTTATTTATAGTGCTGTGAGGTATAGATCTTTGATCTTTTATTAGTCAGTAGTCTGCTCCAAAAGCATGCTCTCTTCTCCCTGCTCTGCAGTCACTCATGAAGATGACATGTTTATTTATGTTTAATGGTTCTTCCAGGCTGTGCATTGTGATCCTTACCTTCCCTCTTCTTCCCCTTTGTCTCCAGTTGGGAACACAAAAATGTTTTAGTTTTGTAGTGAGTTTAGTTTAGAGAAGTCAGAGTTCAGGCATGTTAATACAAGCAGATTTCTGTCAGATAGACTCCAGAGTGATTTGGTGAAATATATTGCTGCTTATTATGTGTTTGTTCTTCAAGGAGGTCAGAAGAGTACAGCAATGGACTTTTATTTTAGAGTGTGGAGGGGAGGGTGGGTAGAGATGATGGGCAGGAAATGAACAGACATTAATTTTCTATCCATTTTTGGACATTTGGTGGTTAAAACTATTTAAAATGGTAATTTTAAATAAAACATAAGAAACTGATATAATCTAGTGTTTTCCAGTTTCACTTGAAGTTAATCTTTACCAGTTGCAATACTGTTATGGAACTTTTATGAAAGTCCTAGAAACTAAAGTTTCCCCTAAAATTTAATACGCCTGCACTTTTGAGATTCATTTCCAAAGACCTGAGAAAATGTCTATACTTTTTAATGCTAAGTCATGGGTATTGTTTACAGAAATTTATTTAGAAATTATAAATCATGAAGTTAAATAAAAATTCATGTGTTCCATGGTGCTGTTTCTAGAGAGAATTCTAGTTGCCTTTAAGTATTTTTTTTACTCTATTAAAAAAATCTAACAAAAGAAGTGTTTGAATTTTATACTATTTTATAGTGTTCTCTAGGGAAGGAGATTTGCAAAAGATTTCTGAAAGAGTCAGTATAGTATAAGGAAAGAATATGGCCTTGAGGTTCGATATAACAGGGTTTTGTAATCCTTTTTCCACTGGTTATTTGTTCAGTGTCCCTAGACTTCTGAGCCTAGATTTTCTGTTATAAGTATTTGGGGATAAAACCTACCTCCTAAATTTATTGTAAGGATTAAGTAGTACAATATATGTATTAAGTCCCAGACAGTTCATGTCACACAGTACAAACTCAGTAAAAGCTAATTCCTTTTACCTATTTTCAACCTCTTGAAAAATGTGTTCACAGATTACACTACTATTTTATAATGTATATTTTATTCATAAAATATAAATAAACCTGAGTTGAAAGTTAGCCTTTCATCTTAAAAATAGAAATGTGTGTGTGTGTGTATGTTCAGATAAAACTATAACTATAGTCACAGTTCAATAATGTGTTAACATTTGAGATATTTTAATTTGTCTTTTTTTTTTTCTCCTACTCAGCTCTTGCTCCTGTTCTTTGCATCTCGTTTTGTTGGTGAAGATAGCACAGTGATGTCTGCATTCAACCTGCTGCACTTGGTGACCAAGAGCCAGCCAGTAGCCCTGCGAGCCTGTGGGCTTCCCTCAGGTTGCTGCTCGTTCTGTCGTACATCGTGAGGGCACTGGTCTGAGTGGGTGTTTTTGCTGCAGGAAATTGTACACTGCCATACCTGGCTAGATTTCATTTTCTTTTATTTGGGCCCTGATTTGAAGACGGAAATTGGTTATAAGTCACCACTCTACTTTGAGTAACATTCATTTCCACAGTCCTTACAACTCTTGGAGACATTGTGCCATTTCCTTGTTCAGTAGATAATTGTTACTAATATTTCACGATATCTTCTTGTTCTTTAATGCACACCACACATCTGCAAATCATAATGTTCATAAGAGCCTGGCAGTTGTAGTAAGAAATTGCCCCAAATCACACAAAATAGGACATTCATCTTGTTAAAGGATAATGAAAATGCTTTTGTCCCACATGTAGCCTTTCCTTTATGAAAAAGTAAAATGATCAACTTTCGCATAATTAAGTTATTTATGTATTATAGTTAAAAAGAAAAGATGCTTTACAACAGTGACACAAACAGAACTAATGTAACATGGCTTAACGGGCTCATAAATTAGAATCATTATGCTTTTTAAAAATGTGATTTTTCAGTATTTAAAGAAGTGAACTGTGAAATTCAAAAATTTCATATGTACCTATATTATAAGTTTAATGTTTAAATGTTATTATGAAAACCATAATGGTCAAGTATTTTATTTCTGTAAATGTGATTATCAATATTATTTACATTTTCATTAATGTGCATATGTCTGTTATAATATTAGATGGAGAGTTTAATCTAACTTATCGAACATGTACTGATTTTGAGCTCTGACACCAGGCATGTGTTAAGCAGTGAGGAGGCCAGGACATAGAGGAGGTAAAGCTGCTTTGTTTTCAACAAGTACAAGGCAGAGATGGGACCCTGTGATGATCTTTGAGCCACGTAATGATACAATTAGAGCCAAAGTATTTATGCCTAGGGTACTATTGGAATTTATAGGATGATAGGCCTATCTTTTTTTTTTTTGAAGAAATTTTGAGAGAGGGAAGGTCTCTGAAGTTTAAGGAGGCTTCCATGGAGGATATGGTGCCTGAAGTGAATCTCAAACCATGGGCAGCCATTAGCCCCACGATCCAGGAGGAAGAAGGACATTTGAACAGAGTCATAAGCAGGGGTGAAAAATGAGGGCGTGTAAGAGCAGTGTGTGTGTGCGCGTGCGTGTGCGTGTGTGTTTTAATCCTGCCTCAGGTTTATTTGTACAAAGAACACAGGAGGACATTAGCCCCCCGCAGATGACACCCCAGGGGTCATAGCAGTCCTTCTGTTTTTGTATCAGCAGATAAGAGGCTTTTACTGTGGAGCCTTCATGGGGGCCTAGGCACCTTAGGGAGCCTGGGCTGGAGCAGAAGCTGGAGCCTGGGCCTTTGGCCAGGAAGGCCTGTTACCCTTGGCAATATGGGCACGGATACACTTCCCAAGGTTGGGGTGGGCAATATAGGCAAGTTGAGTGAGTCTGTGACTTACTCTCTTTGGAATGATCTTGAGCTTGACCTCCTTGGGCTTGATGAGGGCCTTGATAGCCTCGGCATGTGCACTCATGGCCTTGGCATTGTTTGCTTGCATCTTCTTGAAGCCCTTCTTGTTGTGCTTCTTGGCAAAACACATGTTCCCAAGGAACTTGGAATCTACCCACTTCAGAGATTCATATCTTTGTGACTGAGGTTTCTTGATGCCATTTCTGTGCCATTTTCAGGACTGGTTATGCATGGTGTGGTTCTTAGACTTGGCCATAACTGCACTGTAAACTGTAGCTGCCAAGCACCTGGAACCGGAAGAAGAGGCAATGTGTATTTGAAACATGCAAGTTGTTTCCTGTAGTGAGCTTGAAGAGAAAGGGCAAGTGGAAGAGGTGAGGAATGAAAGATAGCCACATTAAAAGTACCTTAATGTTCCAAGGAATTTAAATCTAGGGAAAGAGATGGAGGAATATGGCTTCATTGGCATTTAATAAAGACTGTTGCTGGTTTTCTTGAAATTTGTTGAGAGGGGCTGAGATGACAGAGGGGGTGAGATAAGGTATCTGTCTCTAGACTATATTTGAATAGCAAATACACTTTTTTTTTTTTGGTGGCCGGCTCAGCCTACACTGGGGGTGGGCTGGCCCAGCATGTGGTGCTGGGGATCAAACTGAGGTCCCTGCATGTGCCTAAGCAGGTGCTTTAGACCACTGAGCTATCTTGCTGGCCCACAAATACACTTTTTTAAAAGGAGATTTTGTCTTCTATTTTTGATAGCGTGGAGGTGGAGGGCTAATGCAGCTTAGTTCATGAGGGCTCCAATCACTGTTCTCGTGTTCCTCCTGCTCTCACATGCCCTGCATAGACACTGTGTAGTCTATTGGAGGAGTTTGAGGCTGGATGGTCTCATGAAGACCTGAGAGCCCTTGCAGTGGTCCTCACAGTGGGATTGAAAAAAAAGGACAGGGGGTGCCTAGCATGTGGAGAGAGTGCAGATGTGGAACTGACAAGGCTTATCTGTTGCATTGTGTATGAGCTTGAAGAATGGCAACCACTGTAGTGCCTGTGCCCCAGGAGACATTTTCATTGCTATTATGTACAAAAGATGAGCTAGGAAAGGTATTTAGTTTTTAGGGGGGCTGGCAATTATAGAATGCACCCACAGTAGTTCTTGTAACATGAGTTTACTATATGTAGAGGAAACTTAAGAGTTTATAGAGATAACTTATTATGAATGTATTATTGAGGGCTGGCAAGATAGCTCAGTGGACTAAGCACCTGCTTAGGCAAGCCCAGGGACCAGGGTTTGATCCCCGGCACCACATTCCACACCAGCTCCACCCCCAGGTGCGCTGAGCTGGTGACTGAGTCCAGGCATGGTGGCGCACACTTGTAATCCCACCGCTGGGGAGGCTGAAAACAGGAGGATCACTATGAGTCCAAGCTGCCTAGTGAGACCTTATACAAACAAACAAAAATGAATAAAAAATAATGTATTATTGAGACATGATATTTATGAAACTAAAGTTTTTCACAAGAAATTGTATAATTAAAATAAGTAAATATTTTAGCCAGGCATGATATAACACAATTGTGACCTCAGTACACAGGGAGGGTGAGGCAGGAAAATTGTAAGTTAGAGCCCAGCCTGAGCAACTTAGCCAGACTGTGTTTCAAAATAAGAAAGGGCTGGTAGTGTATTTCTGTGAAGGCCCTGGGATCAATCCCTAGTAAAACACACACACGCATGCACATACGCACAAAGGAAAAGGTCTTTACATTTTGATAACAAAATGATCCCAAGATACATTCAACAAAGCTGATAGTTTTCATTTATACAAAGCGTGCAACAGCAGCACCTACCTGAAAGGCTTACTGTGAATGCCACTTGCTGGAATGTGGAGAATGCCTCAAGTGCTGGCTGGTACAGAGCAGGCATCACTTGTCTTCACAAACGTCAGTATAGACACAGAGTTCCATTTTTCAAGTGAAATAGACTTTTAGAAACATTTAAATATGTTTCATCTTTCATTTAATTGCTTCTATTTTAATAAAATATATAGAAACACTTTCTGTTTGAGAAATAACTACCACAGTCTATTATTTTGATTGCTTTATTTTACTTACACATTCTGTTTTTTTTAATATATATATATATATATATATATATATATATCCCTTTGACAACACAATTTTTATTTTATTCTTAAGCTCCGGTATTGACAAAAACCCAGAAAACTCTGTGTCTTTCTTATGGGGTGCTGGTAGACATATTTTAATTTAGCAAATGAATTTATAGAAGGGTATTCCTTAATTCCTTCATTAACCTTTCAGGTTAATTTTTAAAGTGTTATAAAACTTTATTCTGGTTACATATTTTACAACTTGATTATTAGCAAAATTTTTTGTTTATTTCTCTAACAGTATTTTACTCTTATCTATAGAAATGTTGAAATTATATTCCACAATAATGAGAGAAACTACTTAAACTTTGAAGTATAAAAGTAACCTTGAAATGAGAATTCTAGTCTTCATTACTTTGTGCGGGTAGGGAGAGAGGAACCAAAATTGGAGATACAGGAAATTAAGGTTAAAGTTTAAAGTCATGCTTTAATTTACTATTCCCTGGTTGAAATCAATTACAACAGAAATCTCTGTAAATAAAAAAATCTCCATTCCAGGCTGGTACGCTACTAATTTTGAGTGTTATTCACTATGAAGTAATTCCCTGAACTAAGAAATATTTAGAACAGGCTCTTACAGTTGATTATAACTGATTGACCTGTATGAAGGTCATATCCCAAAAGAGTAATCTCTCATCTTTCAGCTTTGACTTCCTTTACTTCTTATATTTTAATAAAGCATCATTTTAATTTAGAGCTTATTAAATGCATCTAAGTTATAGTTTACTCATGTTTGTCATTAAAGGTAGTTTTTTCCTCTCAGAATTTCCTTCAACAGTTTCTTTTAAGTATCAAAAGAGCGCTGGAATAAGAGTCAGAGAATAGTGACCATAGCTTTGTCCTTGACTTGGGTGACCTTGAGTTAGTCAGTAAGCCTCTCCTGGTCTCAGTCTTGTCATCTTGAAAATAAAAAGTTATGATTAAATAATCTATTCAGTTCTGAAATTCCTTGATTGTATTAACTTTCATTTATTTTAATTTTTCACCTTAGGTTAATTACATCCTAGTACTCAGTACTAATTAATGATGAAGATTTACAGAAAAGCTTGCTAGGTGGTGATGGGAGGATAGAAATATTTTCCGTTTGAACATTAGAACTTCTGGTTGCTAAATTAGACTAAAGAATGATCTAAAGAGAGATCACACAGCACAGTTTTTCTCATAGTTTTAGTGTTAGATACAAACCCAGTGTAATTCTAGCTTACACTAGATGTCATAGTAGTTTTTAGCCACCTAAGGGTGTTTGTCTAAATAGTGCTCATTATAGTAATAAAGTATTCTAACCTCATGCACATAATATGTGGTGTGACTCTGACTTAACTTTAGGGGCATATT